TACATATGTTAGCTAAAAATATACCTAATATATCCCCTCATCTTTTTTTTTTTTCTGGAATACTTTTAGAATTTTTACTATACATCGAAATTTAGGTCATACTATCTGTATATATGGAAACTTACTTTCAAAACTGAGTATACATTTTATATATCACATCCTGTACTACCTTAATTTATGCTGTTAGGACCAGAAAGTATATTCATTCTTGCAGATTAGATTGCTTCCACCCTTTAGACATTATTTATGCATATTAAATGTCAACATGAAAATGACAGATGATTTCTGCATTCAATTAGAAGAACAATATACGCTGTCTCAAAAATCATAGGAGAGAGAAAGTCAGCAAAGTTTCGGCTCCAAACAAAAATAGTTTCAAATTCCACTTAGTTCTTTTGGAAAATGCTGTTTTGAAGGAAATGCTTTCGCCTTTTTTCAGGGTTTGTACGCTTTAGCAATACAGTATAAATGAACTAGTACTGATTAGGTCGACAAATAAAAAGGAAGCAATTTTCTTAAATAGTACACACGACATAAAAGCGAAGGAAAAAGTATATTGCAAATGCTATTTGTTCTTCATCATTGCTATCATAAAGGTCAGCCTGACACAGGGTACTAGGTTGGTGAGCTACAAAGAAATTCGGACAGATATGCCTCCAGCCTTCCAATGATGAATCATTTGGTTCATAAAGGAACATACTCAGAAAGAGTACAGTTAAAGTTATAAAACACCGAATGAATGCACATAAAATATATTTTATGTACCCTAAGGAAAATTAATTTTGGACTTTGATCCAATTTTAAACATTTTTAAGAATTGGTTTTAACCAAAGCCAGTTTGGCTCAGTGGACAGAGTGTCGGCCTGTGGACTGAAGGGTCCCAGGTTCGATTCTGGTCAAGGGTATGTACCTTTGTTACGGGCACATCCCCAGTGGGGGGTGTGCAGGAGGCACCTGATCAATGTTTCAATGAATCATTGATTGGTTGCCTCCTACACGCCCTCTATTGAAAATCGGGCCTGCAACCTGGGCATGTGCCCTGACCGGAATCGAACCATGGTTCATAGGTTGACACAACCACTGAGCCACACTGGCCAGGTTGTGAAATGCAATTTTTATATCAGCATTTAATTTGTTTAAATATGAAACCTGCCAGCTGCATCTAACTTCACTTGGGAGAGGGGCTCTGAAGGAAGAAGAGGGAGGAAACTGGTCTGTCTCCTAGCATCTGGCGTAAATGAATCAGTCACTGTGTAGATGGGAGGGATTTGGAAGATACTGGGTGTCGGGAGGAGAGATGAATTCTGTGTTGAGCATAATCGGTGTGAGCTGTCGCAGGGATAAGCAAAGAAATCAATTGTAAGAGTAACACAGCCACGTTTTTCCCCTCTCTAATGCCGCTTACGGGCAAGTTGCACGATTAAATGAAGAAAGTAGGCAAAGCAAGGCATTTGTAATACAACAGATAAATGACAAGGCCTCGCTGGTGAGACAGCATAATAAGGACCATCTAATTTTCTCCTTAAAATCCATTTATTCTCCAAAGCCCTCGATCATCATCAAGGGAGCACATTTTTCAACCAAGGGAATTATAGAGGAGGAGAATTAGATTTTATTAAATATTCCAATTGTGGTGAGCAAAACCCTCACAAATAGCCTTAGAATAGATTTAATAAGAAAGTAAGGTCAATATTTGTATCCTTCCAGCCAACATTGTGAAATATTTCGACTACTTTTGTGCCTTGATCGTATGTCATCAATATCCTTAAAGTCGTTGGCTGCCTTGGACTATCAAGTGATCACCATTTAGTTAGTTAGTTATCTGATATTTCATATTTGTTCCACTTTTAACATGCTAGCAGATTTAAATGTTCCCCTATAGCATATAATCTTATAGCAGCCACATAAAAAGTAACTTGTAAATTAATGCAGAGTTAATAACATGATTACCAACCTGCTGCTTATACAACAGAAGTTACAAGTTGTAGCAATATGGCTTCTAGCATCTTTTTTAGGATGACTATAAATGTCTAGTGAAGTATTATAACTCTGTGAAGAATGTCTTTATGAGAAGATATGCTGCCTTTAGGCATAATTGGGAAAATATTCAGACAAGTTTGTTAAATTGAATTAAACCCACAATATTAATTTTCATGACGGGAACAATTTCTTCAAATGAATGCTCAAGCAGGAAGCCCAGAAATGAGAAATTTAGCTGGTTGTTATTGTATTTTGGATTTGCAATAATGCAGAGAAGAGCCGAAACCGATTTGGCTCAGTGGATGGAGTGTCAGCCTGCGGACTGAAGGGTCCTAGGTTCGATTCCGGTCAAAGGCATATACCTTAGTTGTGGGCACGTCCCCAGTGGGAGGTGTGCAGTCTGCAGGCCGACGCTCTATCCACTGAGCAAAACTGATTCTGGCATCAAAGCCACTTTTAAAATATTGAAAATTACTACACAAGGTAAGAAATCTATCAGAAGCAAGACAGCGATTACAAAGCAAAGGTTGTATAAACATATTCATCTCAAGAGTTCACATTTAACCATTCTATAGGTCACTTAATTTTTTCTCCCAACAATATGCCAATATTCGGCTCTGTGCAATGTTCTAAAGAGCATAATAAACTAGGCAGAGTATATATAAATATTACATGCAAACACAAACAGACCTATTGATTTATAATAAAAATTATATCAACAAATACTTTTCCTGAAACCTACTGACTTCAAGAAGTCGGACGCCAGGGTAATAAAAGGGAGGAAATGAAAGAATCTCAGTCCCCGATGTATTAGCGAGAGAGAAAAAAGAAAGAAAGAAAGAAAGAGAAAAGCCCTCAAACTGAATATTGCATTCCTGCAGGCCATCCTCATAAGCAAAATATTTTCCCTCAATTACACCCAATTATTTAACTGTTTACACTCACTAATGAAATGAAACAACACAAAACAAACAACTGCAAGGGGCTGTTTATCAGCGAGTGCATCATCATCATCTATCAACAGTACGGGGAAGATTCTTAAAATTCCGTGGAGCTGGCCTGTTGAAACAGAGAGGCATATTTGATCGCAATCAGGGCACGGGAGTAAGATCGCCCCTCACCGGGGCCCGTGGCTCCGCGTACAGTGCAGCCCTAATGATGCCCACACGCCGCGCGGGCGCATCCATTACCATCATCATAATCACGGTCGTTAGGCTGCACGCTCATTACTACCGGGGTCCCGGTGACAGCGGATTCAATCACCGGGTGCAGCGGGCAAGCAGCCCCGGCCCCACCCAAGTCCCTGCAGCCGGCGATGTGCCACATTAAACCTGTGATACGTTCCGCATCCCCCTCCATTCCCCAGGCCCCGGGCGGGAAAGGTCAGCTTTATGTTCTGTGCAATATGCTTAGGCCCTCCAAATTAATCCTCTGGAGGACTGGCTGTTTTTATGCTTTGGAGCTTATCGATTGATTCTTGTTTAGGACCCAAATGCGCGTGGACATACCAAAACAAAGCACACACACACAAAAAAAAGGCTGCTCTAGCGGTGTCGTTCATCAATAATAAAGCGGGTAAACATCAGCCTCTTCCCGGGTTTTTCGAGCAAAGGAAAAGATAAACAGTCCCATTGGAGTCAGTTGTCTAAAGTGAATATAAAAGCTAATTCCAGTCAAGATAGAGGGGCCCAGACCATCATTTGTGCACTGGTTAACACAAGCATAGGAAAGTGCTTTGACAATCAAAAGAATGTTTATAGCATAAGGAGCTTTTAATTGTCCAAGTCTTTTACATCTACCCAAATAGACTAAATTAATAGTGATCAGTGTAGTCCCCTTATTAAGTTTCATTTCTATTTTAAATAGTGAAATGTATATTTTTTTAAAAGATTATTTGAACATTTTAATCTCTCTGGTTAAAGAAGGTAGAAGAGTAAGTTTTTTGTGTAGACAATCTTCAATTATGATGAAAAGGCTGAAGAACAGGAACCAAAAATACTTAATTGAGCTGTTTCTTGGCTGAAAGCAATCTATTGTGCTCAACTACATCATATGTGCATTTACAAGGTTTCAATAGTCTGTCTTCACTACTCCAGCCTTTTCCTTCTTTAGCTTTTTTAATGTCACAACTCCCTAAAACTGTCTTGAGTCAATTAAAAATGAATAAATTGTGGCCTCCAATTTCTGAGCTCAAGAAACGAAGTTTTATATATATATATATATAAAAGAAAAATAAGCCTGATTTTAGCAGTTTATGGGGTACAACAAGTCTCACCCAAATCACTTAATATCAAATTGAAATAAAAGTATTTTTAATAATTCTAAGGTTTACATATCAATAATAGAATGACTACTTCGGTGTTGTGCAGGTTATACAGCTACAGAGAGGGACAATTTATTTAATACCGTTATTTGAAGAGATCAGAAGGAAGGTGGGAAGAAGTAGGAAAGGAAGGGAGAAAATAAAGGGAAGGGAGGAGAGAAAAGAGAAATTCAAGTTTGCATTTAATGTTTTTCTACGTGGGTTTGTGTTAGGTTAAGTAGACTAATGATTTATTAAAATTTAAAGAATTCCTATACATTTCTTGCTTATTTTTGGGGCCTACAAGAACAATTACTCATCATTAATTTTTAACTATATATACATTCTAAAAGTATATAAGGGCACACAATGACTCCCAAAAAACAACAATACCCAAATAAATTATTTTTCTTTTTAGTGAGTATCCAAAAATCTCTACGTTTCCATGAACTGCTTACTTAAGTTAGATCCGGGCATATTCTTGGAATATGTTAGGATGCATGAAGTGAATCTGTTGTAGAAAGCCAACAAGAACCAGACTCTTTTAGGAATAGACATTTGCATAAGGATCTTTGTTTTTCTGAAGCAGCTTAATGTCCAAGGGTGAATCATTTGTATTTTTTAATGTATTAATTGCAATTTATATTTGTTGTCTATTTTAGCCTGTTAAAGGGGACACTATTTATTAACTATTTTTTTTAATGTTGCGTCAACTTACCTTGCCACCAATCCACTTGGCAGGATTTTCATCTCTGAAACGGTGACCGGAACCATACTTGCTTGATAAATGCATTGATGGAATGTACTTTCTATTCTTATGGTAGGAAGAGAATGGCAAAAATCTGAAAGAGCAGTAAGGTGATATTCTTCATTGGATTTCTAGAGACGTTTGATTAAACAAATAAAAATTTAGCCTGGCTGATGTGGCTCAGTGTTTGAGCATCAACCCATGAACCAAAAGGTCACAGGTTCTATTCTCAGTCATGAGACTCGCCTGGGTTATGAGCTCGATCCCCAGTTTTTCTGAAGGGGGCAAGTCTTGGCTTTTACAAACATGTCATTACATGAATGTCTGGGTAGTTGGAAAACAATTGGTAGAGGTCTCAGAGAGCAAAATTTAAAAACAGCCAATTAGATAGATACAGAGACAGTAAAGCATTAAACAGACTGTCACATTACAGAGGGAAGGTTAGGGAGAGGTGGGGTAGATAAGAGATCAACTGAAGGACTTGTATGCATGCATATAAGCATAACCAATGGACGCAAAACTCTGGGGGTGAGGGCATGTATGGGAGTGGGGTGCGTGGGGGGCAATGGTAAGATATGTACACATATAATACCTTAATAAAAAAAATAAAAAAATAAAAAAACCAAAAACCGAAACAAAACAGCCAATTAGCTTCAGGGAAAATGGGACCATTGCAAATATACAGTCTTTATGCACTGAGAATTAACATACCTCATTTTTTTTCCCAAATAAAAAAAATTACACTTACCATTTTTTTTCTGATAACTTTCTTTCATTTCCCCCCCTTTTTCTAGGCACTTACAATTCTAGATTCTCCTCCAACCCATTTATTTCACTGCCAGATAATTCACACTGACAAATTATGAACCCCAATTGCCTGTTGGGTCAAGCCTGCATTCTTCAGCCCGGCTGTCAGGCTGCCCAGCATGCACTGGGTCAGTTTACCCTCCTACCCCTCCTTCTCTGTCCCAGTTTTATGATGTGTTGGTCTGCATACACTAAAAGCGTGTGGAATATTCTCAGGAAGTATTCCAAAATGTCTATGATGTTGGTATTATATATCTATTTTTAAATATATATATTTTATTGATTTTTTACAGAGAGGAAGGGAGAGGGATAGAGGGCTAGAAACATCGATGAGAAAGAAACATTGACCAGCTGCCTCCTGCACATCCCCTACCAGGGATGTGCCCGCAACCAAGGTACATGCCCTTGACCGGAATCGAACCTGGGACCTTTCAGTCCGAAGACCAACGCTCTATCCACTGAACCAAATCGGTTTCAGCGATGTTATACCTCTTAAACATATTAAGACTTAGAGATCTGTAATAATGAAATTCCACTATTCCGTGGCCATTGATTTAAGACAAAAACAAACAAACAAACATTCTATTTTCAAGGCAACAGGGGACAACAAAAGAGCAATCATCACCATACAGCTAACAAAGGGATCTTTTGTAGACAAATTCTAGAACTTCTTAATAATACACAAGCTGATTATCTGTATCCCCAGTGTTCTAAAGCACCAGAACTTCATTAGAGGGAAATTAAGCTGGAAGAATGAAGGCAGCCCTTTGCAAATTTCCGCTGGAAATTGTCTGGGAAAGGCACAAGTCTGGATCAAAAGAGGGTAATCATGCTAACGGTGCCCGGAGCACCGTGTGGGCAATGCGATTTGCACACTAACTACCTCTCCCATTACCGCTTGTTTGGAGTGTTCTGTGTTAATGGGGTTAGCTAATCTAGTATTTTAACTTAAAAAGGCTCTGCTGATTAATAAATGTGGCACACTGTGCCAGTAATTAAAACAAATGGGAGCGTTACAAATAAAAGTTGAAATGTTAAGGAAACACTCTCTGAAAACATATGATAATGCCTATTTACCATAATACAATAACCGTTCGGAAAACACGTAGACTGCAGAGGGCCAAAGTGTTTGAAGAATCACATAAGTCAAAAAAAGTTTTGAGGCGTGTTGAACTTCCTTATCACTGTTCTTTGTTAATAAACAGAACTGGTCTCTTTTCTATACACTACATTCAAAAAAAAAAATTTTTTTTTTCTGGTAATCCTCAATCGAGGGTGATTTTCCCATTGGTTTTTAGAGAGAATGGAAGGGAGAGGGGGAAAAAGAAGAAATCCTGAGGTGAGAGAAACACATGGATTGGTTGCCTCTGATTGGGGTTGGGGATCGAACTTGAAACTCAAGGTATGTGCCCTTGACCAGAAGGAATCAGACTTGAGACCAGAAGGACTATATTTTAAATTAAGTTCTTAATTGGAATTCTAGATATTTTGCTTAATCACTTTGATGTCATAGTGACCAGTTAATCACACAAATGCATAGCCACATGCAGAAGATTCAACTGTGAATCGAGAGATATTTAAAAGGCAGAAAGGAGAATCTGAGGACCAATATGACGCTGGAGAAGGAGAACAGAAAAATTCACAGGTCCCTACCCTGGGCTGAGTGTTGGGCCTGCAATTCACACTTAAAACAAGAAGCAGGCCCTGGCCTGTTTGGCTTAATGGATAGAGTGCCGGCCTGCAAAATGAAGGGTTCTGGGTTCCATTCTGGCTAAGGGCACATGCTCGGGTTGCATGCTTGATCCCAAGTAGGGGGCATGCAGGAGGCAGCCAATCAATGATTCTCTCTTATCATTGATGTTTCTCTCTCTCTCTCCCTCTCCCTTCCTCTCTCAGAAATAAATAAAAACTTATTTAATACATGTCAGAGCTTCTCATAAAAATTACTTGCCAGTTATGTACAAGTTGCTGATGTAACATCCTGGCTTCATAAATACAGACCTAGGAAGGAGGAAAACCATGTCTTCAAGAGACAAAAGAAAGAGGGATCGGTTTCTTTAGGATCAAGAACAAACAAATAAAGCTTTGAAGTGACTGCTTCAAGAAATCCTCTGCAATCCACACTCTGTCAAACAGTACCATCCCCTCTTTCTATGCCTATCTTGAAGAACATGTTAAAGACTGTGACCTCATTGGAAATATGGTCACTGCAGGAATAATAAGTTGTGATGAGAGTACGGTGGGCCCCTGATCCAATTCGATTATTGATTACACATATGCAATCGATATCCTCATCAATACTGTCCTATCTAAAACATTTGCACGTCGTCGAAAATGGTTGCTTTCGGAGGAATCATGGGGACCTGACCTTTTCTCACAAATAAAAAGTTCTGTGCAGCCGAGACCGGTTTGGCCCAATGGATAAAGCATCGGCCTGTGGACTGAAAGGGTTCGATTCCTGTCAAGGGCATGTACCTTGATTGTGGGCACATCCCCAGTGGGGGTGGTGCAGAAGGCAGCTGATCCTTGTTTCTCTCTCATCGATGTTTCTAACTATCCCTCTCTCTTCCTCTCTGTAAAAAAAAATCAATAAAATATATAAAATAAAATAAAATATATTAAAAAAAAAAAAAAAGTTCTCTGCAATATCTAACCAGGTAACGTAAGGCCCCACACTCGGGACAGCTGCTTTTTTCAGCTCAAGACTCACATGTTCTCTTGAACATTTTTTGCCGAGTCCCATTTTCTGAATTCATTTCTGGCCTCTTTTAACGTAGTGATGGGTTCTGCCACCCGCAACGTTGGTTCCAAAGGCTTGTAGCGCTGCGCCAGTACTTCACTGATGTCACGGAAGGGCCCCTGGCAAGACAGGATGTTTCATTAGGAAGGATTCCTTTACCGTGTTATTAGTCATCAAGGCTACTGAATGCCTACAAAACACAGCAAGTTTACTTACATTGCAGAGGATATTTTATTTAAGTATATTTTTATTGGCTTCAGAGAGGAAGGGAGAGAAAGATAGAAACATTAATGATGAGAGAAAGTCATTGGTCAGCTGCCTCCCGTATGCCCCACACCCGGGGGCCGAGCCCACAACCCGGGCATGTGCCCTGACCGGGAATCGAACCGAGATCTCCTGGTTCATCGGTCGACACTCAACCACTGAGCCACACCGGCCAGGCCTAAATTACAATTCGTTCTTCTCTGAATTAGAAAATGCATGGCACAATATTGCATCTTCCAGAAATGTCCACGCTGGTACAAGTGATGATACTGAAAATGTGTTGCATTAATTTTCTGCACATCTAAAGAGTTGCTCTGCTAAAATTGGTAAGTCTATAGTTATAGTTGCTCTACTTTCAAATTTTTAAAAACATGTTGCTTTGAACATCATTTGCAAAGAATCCTCTCCCTCTTTGAGTAAAAATAGTAGAGACAATTCTGAACTTAGCTTTCAAAGAACACCGCTATTAATAGCGTTCTTTCACTAAAATAAGGCTTTTTGGTGAATGTCAAATCTTCTATTTTATTCTTTCTTGTGTTCTTTATTTAAAATTATTTGATACAATAGCAGCCATGCAATCACATGCAAACATAGCCAAGTCCAGAAGCCACAACTGGGAAAAGAGATTCACCACATGTCCTGCCTTTAAATTAGTAGTTACTTATATACCAGTTATGGGAATCCACTGGTTGTCTGACGAATTAGCATCACATAATGCACAATGCAAGTCAGAGGTGGCTGGAGATTTTGCTGTGCCATTAAGTACATATAGTTTTCTCTTTTTGCCCACCACTGTGCAGGAGAGAAGTGATGGAAGAGGGACCAAGATTTCTAGTCCTATTCCTTATCCTTCCTTAACTAGGTTATCCCTAACAGGCCACAGCTAGAATTCCTGCCGGCGCTGAGGGAAGACAGTGGGCTAATAAAAAGAAATGATTCACGCCTCATTTCTGTTCACTTATGTTTTACATTAATAGAAACCAATAATAGGAACCAGTTACCATAAAAGTCATGGACCGTAAATAACACAAATGGCAAATAAGTATCATCTAGTACTTTTCACAGCTGGACAGGAGGATTGCTATATTGGAAAGGAGTTAATGAATTTTTATTGGAACTTTATTTTTTAAAGATACAGTAACATAATTTCAAGTTCATTATTAATATCTATCTATCTATCTATATCCCCATTTGATATATATGTTTACATATATCTTTTATTATGAACTTTAACTTATTACAATATATATAATTACTAATATATTAATGTATCTTTATACATTTTATTTACTATATATTTGATGTATATATACTTTTTAATATATTTTTATTGATTTCAGAGAGGAAGGGAGAGGGAAAGAGAGAGAAACATCAATGATGAGATAAAATCAGTGATTGGCTGCCTTCTCCATGTCTCCTACTGGGGATTGAATCCACAACCCAGGCACATGCCCTGACTGGGAATCAAACCATGACCTTCTGATTCATAGGTCAATGCTCAACCACTGTGCCATACCAGCTGGGCTGGAGTAATTTTTTATACAGAGAGAGGTAAACGGAGGCACTCCTGTGCACAGAACCCATAAGCAGGAGCTGTGGGAGCTTGGCCTGTGAACCAAAAGCAATCCAGTTCCGGGTGGATTCTACCTGGTGGCGGTTGTACTCCCAGTTTTAAAGTGTTGGCGGGGATGACAGAACGATTGCTCTCTGGGACTTTTAGGACAGTCACTCAACACACCTCACTCCACACTTTATCTCTATCCCAGTCTATATTGAAGGTTGTCTGTTTATTTCTACTGGAGTCTTGCACTATTTCAGGCCCTCTCTCTTTCCCCAACTCACATACTAGTACTCTTAAAAGTACTCAAATCTAAATTATGTTTACAGTTATATTTAAAGATATGGGTCATCAGATGACAGGTTACATTAAATGTATTTGATGACACATGCAATATTTCTAGCAACAATAGGTTATAATGAGTACTGTTTCTAACAATATTTTCAGTCTGGCTGGTGAGCTCGGTGTTTGAGCATCTACCTATTAACCAGGAGGTTACAGTTTGATTCCCAGACAGGGCACATGCCCAGGTTGCTGGCTCAGTCCCCAGTAGGGGGCGTGCAAGAGATAGTCAATCAATCGTTCTCATCATTGATGTTTCTCTCTCCCTCTCCCTTCCTCTCTGAAATCAATAAAGAAAAAAAAAATATTTCTTAAAAAAGCAAAAAGCCAGTATTTTCACTCAAAAGTCTAGATCTTAACCTAAAATCCTATGTGTTAACTTCTCATTCAAAACATTATATATTAGTTTAATACCAAATAAATATTTGATTGCTTCTTTGGTGTATGTTTTAAACATACTTTAGATTTCTTACTTACAACATTAGATTCTATTAAAAAAAAAAAAAAAATTCCTGCCAAAACCAGTTTGGCTCAGTGGATAGAGCATCGGCCTGCGGACTGAAGGGTCCCGGGTTCGATTCCGGTCAAGGGCACGTACCTTGGTTGTGGGCACATCCCCTGTAGGGGGTGTGCAGGAGGCAGCTGATGGATGATTCTTTCTCATCGATGTTTCTATCTCTCTATCTTTCTCCCTTCCTCTCTGTAAAAAATCAATAAAATATATATTTTTTAAAATTCCTTTTTTTATGATCACAAAGGCAAAACAACAGTCACGTTTTAACAAACCAGCAAAGTACGCGATCGTGGGAAGAATTCTCACATGGGACCAGAGTACCTGGCACTGCTTCCGGTTGATGGGCGGCAGGATGTGGGTGCGAGGGAAGGACCGGGTGCTGGTGCAGGCCAGCCAGCTCTCCAGGTGGTGGACTCGCTTCCGCCTGGCTTTGGGCCGTGGAGGCGTTAAAGGCTTTGCGTTCTGCAGCCGCAGTTCCCACGGGTCGGGATTAATTCTGAAGGGCGAGTTGTATACGCCTGGGATCTAAAGCAGACAGAAGTTTGACTTGGGTCTTCCATTTTCACACGAAGTAAAAGGAAGATCAGGTTGGACTGTCGCATTTTTCCTATATGTAAGGACTATGCGAAATGACTTCTGGAGGTGGAATTTCAGATTTACCAGGGAAGATAAAAATAAAAAAAAGCCCCATGCTCCGTCTTGACGCCAGACCAGCCGTTTCAGAGTCATGCTTTGGTTGAAGACAAAATATGCTAAAAACCACTGAACTGTGGTTCCTATCTACCACACAAGGTACATCTTACATCACTGTATTTATGAAAAAAGAAAAATAACAGTCATTCTTTTTGTATTTTAACCATTAACTAACTATGAGTGTGTCTATGAACTATATCTACTATTATAGCGACCCATTCACTCAGACAAACCAAATACGCAAGGCTTGAGCCAGTTTCAGGGACAGAGTATGTATTCTCACCTAACTGATTTGGCTCAGTGGGTAGAACGTCAGCCTGTGGACCAAAGGGTCCCAGGCTCAGTTCCAGTCAAGGGCATGTACCTGGGTTTTGGGCTCCTCCCCAGCCTCGGCCCTGGTCAGGGCTCTTGCAGGAGGCAACCATTTGATGGTTTCTCTTACATCGATGTTTCTCTCTGTCTTTCCCTCTCTGTGTCACTTTTCCTAAAAATGAGTGGAAAAAATATCCTCAGGCGAGGATTACAACAACAACAAAAATAACAACAACAAAATATGAACTCAATAAACATTTGATTGTTTGAATGATGATTCATTACAAAATGGCAGTTATTTTAAGTTCTTTAAAATAATAAACCAGTGTGTATGCATATATATTTCATATATAAATAATAATCACCGTGGATATATATGTGGATATTATATATAAAATCAAAGTGGATAAAATAATAATCAAAGTGGATGTACATATGAATATGTATATAATATATTCAAAATAACATCCTGTATTTTGAATTCATGTGGTTCGGAGCTCTACTTCCGTAATGTCACAGTACCCTTGCTATTCATCAATGACCTTGTCACACTGTGTCAAAATAGTCAGGGCTTACTTAGCACAGCACCTGCTATGCAACAGAGGGTCAGCAGATGTATGGATGACAAATGTTCAATTCCAGTTTAGCAGATGTCCATTTTTCTGAAAATTCAATGGTGGTTGAGTACAGAACCGTACTTTGATACCTTTTCATATACACACATGCATATTCATAAGGACAAGTCACACTTTAGAGGACAGTATGATTGGCTTGTTGGCTCTGTGCATCCTCTGGACTAATGTAAAAACATGGATCCATTGAACCTTTCTCTCTTCCCTGAAAATGTGCTTTTCTATCGTATCCATAAATATTTCTGGTTGCTTATCTCCCTCATGGAATCAGCAGTTCCAAAGTATTAGGATTAGTTAGGATAGTTGCCTTTGAGTACCTATCCTTGGAAATGTTCTACTTCTAGCCCAACATGCAATTCAGTGTTAACCTGAGTCTAATACCACTGGCTCTGGCTGGACTCTGTGTCCTGTCCCACAGCTATCTTTCTGTGTGTCAGTCTCCCCCAGGCCAGCAGCTGGAGTGCCGGGACTCTGTGTTGGGTATTTTTTTATCCCCAGAGCCTAGCAGAGTGCTTGTCACATGGTAGACACTAAAAATGAGACTGGTCATGCTGGCACGGCTCAGTGATTGAGCACTGACTTATGAACCAGAAGGTCATAGTTTGATTCTGATTCCCGGTCAGAGCACATGCCAGGAGTGATGGCTCCACCCTCAGTAGTGGGCGTGCAGGAGGCAGCTGATCCAAGATTCTCTCTCATCATTGATGTTTCTATCTCTCTCCCCCTCTTCCTCCCTCTCTGAGATCGATAAAAATATACTTTAAGATGAGACTAGATGCTTTTCCGGAATAACAATGCATCATTCAGACATGCCCACGAGGCCTCTGTTTCTCTACTGTTTTCCAAAGCCACATTCTTGGTAAAAATACTTGAGATTTATTTCAGAATCCTACCAACTTCTTTCTAAGAAGTTATAGATTATACCCTTTTCATCTTTCTTGAGAAGTCAGTTTTAATTGGTTGTCGATTACATTGTGACCCAGAAATTAGCACTAACCCGAATCACCTCCCACTCAGCTTTTTCCTATGTTATAATCCAGGACTGAATCTTATCAGATAAAACCAACCTAATGTAAATGTATTTAAATATTTTTAAAATGTGTTGAACTAGCTCTTCTTTGCAACCCCCCCCCCCCCAATATAATTTATTTATATAAGAAAGAACAGTGTTGAGAATGTTACAGGCCATTGTATACACCACTTATAATGTCAGTTAACATTCGCTCCCTATAACACTGATTATAGAACAAGGTGGATACGTAAACAGATAGTGAAATGATCTTAATAAAAGAAAATATGTATACATATATATTAAAAATAGCTTTCAGTGGACAGTAACTTTTAAGTGGATGGTAATTTTTAACATCTTTCCAAGGTGATTTTCTATTGAGAATATATCAAATGTAATAAGGAAAAAACAATACGTACGGCATAAAGAAGACTATTCTGACATAGAATATAATTAAACCTACATCAGTCTAGGACAGAGATATAAGAAAAATGCCATTTTGTTCAGTGATAATCTAATGAAAGGAAGTCTGTTAGCATATCATTTCCAGATTAAAATAGTAAAATACGTGCAGTTTAACTAGATTATAATTTATGCTTGACAATGACTATCTACCTGGGTAACTGCCGCCGGCTATTCACGTCACCCCCATTAGAAATCTCCTCTGATCCCCCCAAATTTGCATGCCCATGTACACAGGGGCTCCATGGGAAATGCAAATTGACCGCAGGCCTGATAGCTTCCTGAAACCGTACTCTGCAGCCTCCATGGAGCCCTCCTCCTGTGGCTTCTCCTTGCAATTTAAATCAAATATAGATAGAAAATACAGTTTAATTGAATTGAAAATGTCTCATTTAAAATCTTCCGGCTGTCGATATTTTAGAAATTAAGTTAGTGCATTTGCGAAAGCCATCAATGGACACGCTCTGGCCCTCCCACAATCCCCCCAGCAGACACTTTACTTGGTTAGATTTAGAAAGAATGCATTCTAGAAATGAAGTTAATATTTTAGAAATTAAGTTCATATTTTAGAAATTAAGTGAATGCTCTATTTAAGAAACTCAGTTAATGCTAAACATGCCCGGCCCTCCCACAATCCCCACAGCAAATACCCTATTTGGTTAGGTTGAGAAATGACCCATTTAATTATTCTTCTTGCAGTAAATAAAATGATGTGAACTTGCCCTAGCTGGTTTGGCTCAGTGGATAGAACGTTGGCCTGAGGACTGAGGGGTCCCGGGCTCGATTCTGATCAAGGGCGCACGCCTGGGTTGTGGGTTCGATCCCCAGTAGGCCTCACGCAGGAGGCAGCCCATCAATGATTCTCTCTCATCATTGATGTTTCTATCTCTCCTCCTCTCTTCCTCTCTGAAATCAATAAAAATATATTTATATTAAAAAAAATAAAATGACGTGAACTTACTCTTGTCCCAGTTGCTCTAGTTAGTTCATCATGTGTAAGGCACCTGTGACTAAAACGGCTTGCTGTGGGTTTCTAAAAATATTCCTAGGAGCCACCAAAGGCCAAGTTCATCCTCAGGGACCAGGGCCTATTTCTCAGCCTCCACATTTTTCACCGCGTGGAAGGGCGGCTGCCAAGCTCGCTTGTGGGACTTCATTCTGGGCAATCATTTTCTGGAGTGACCAGCACTATGGGGAAATCTCTGCTAACTGTGTGGTTCTTTTTTTTTTTTAAAACAGCCTACAACTGAGTTATTTGCAGTACTGTCATGCTAACATTCAACTCAATAAGACTCAGGGGTTCTCAGGAGAGGACTCAGCTAACAGCCTCTTACTGACCTCCCTGCATCAGGCCGGACTGCAGTCTGGGGGCCCAGCGGTGGAGACCGCAAATGAGCTGTTAAAGTGCCGGGTTCTTTTTAAAGGCTGTGATTCTGACTAGTCAAAAGGGAGGTGGGGGGAAAAAGGCAATGAGTTATATAATAGATATATATATTTTTCTTGAATTCCTCCCTTCAGACTCTCCATCATGGGGACTTAAGCATGAACCAGAATATTAATTACGCTGGGCCGAGCAGCCAGCAAACGTGCCATTTGTTACCCAGTCACCCTTAGCATTACGTTCATATTTCGAACCATTCTGTATTTCTGACAATCAGTTGGCTCTTTACTTTCCAGATTTTATGCTTCTACTTGAGTATCATATAGGAAAGTCCTTAAAAAACAAAGCGCGGAATGCAATTGATTTGAAAACGAATGGACATCCTTTTTATATAGAGAGCATCTACTGTGTTTTTATTTCCCGGAGAATGTCTTTCTGATCATTTTCCTTCCAAAGGCTGACCTTTATTTTGTAATTGCCCGGGGGAAGCTGTGTCTAATTTCCCCTCTTCTTTTTGTTACCGAGGCTTACTCTTAACACAAGTTTCTGTAAAATAATAATAATAAAAAAAAAAGAACTTGAAATAGGACTGTGGGAACTTCAAACTCCCAAAGCACATTTATGAGGGCTTCGATTGCATGTGTCGCCGTTGGAGAAATCCTAATTCCTCCTGATTTCAAAGTCACTCCTTCTTCCGGGAGCATTCGGCTTCTGCTTCTGCAGACGGCAGGAGCACAGCACAGAGGAGAGTCACTGATGGCCACAGAAATGGAACCCAATTAGAAAGTATTTTCTTGCTCCACAATTCAGAATTTGTGAATCCTGGGAGAGAGAAGCAGTTTAAAAGGAGGGTTATCTAAACTATATTTGGGTTCTAAGTTTTCATTAAAAAAAAAAAAATGCATTGAGCCCGGCCGGTGTGGCTCAGTGGTTGAGCTTTGAAATGGAAATCGCAGTTCGATTCCTGGTCAGGGTACATGCCTCGGTTTTGGGTTCAATACCCAGTGGGAGGTAGGGGGAGGGGGCGTGCAGGAGG